TTGGATGATGGGGTAGCTATCAAAGCACGTAACTTCGTTTAGTGCTCGGCAGTCGCCGCATGGTCTCGAACTAACCCCATCTTTTTTGCGCACCATGTGAAGATGAGGGGCCCATGGACTTTGAGAAGGATGAATAATACAAGTAGTTAGTAAATTGTCGAACTCACGTTTAGCAAAGGCTAATTTGTCAGCTGCCAGTCGGCAAAGTCGTGCTGTGACTGGCGGTCCGTGGGTGACTATGTGTTATACCAGACGAGTGGTCATCGATGGAAGCTCCTCGAGTGGTTTAGTCAGTGTGGGGAATTTCTCGAACATAACGTGGAATTTATCGTCACGCGAGTAAAAAGTGCCGAGAATTCAGTACGCGTTCATGTGGACTTTGCAGCCCATGAAGTTACTGTTCGGCGAAGTATCGATTAGCTGCAGCCTACGTGAATCGACAAGCAGTTCAAAGTGCAGTAGGAAATCGATATCTAGTATGGCTGTGGGAAAATCAGCAATGATGAACGTCCACAGATATCGTCGTCGGTTGCCCAAGTTGACCGCGAGTTGTCGTGTACCGTAGGTAGGAACGACAGCCATTCACAGCGCGTAGTCGAAGCATTGTAGCTTGTGACTTGCTGCTACTTCGTGGTACGACAGAGACTTAGACCCCAGTGTCTACTAGGAACCTAGAGTTTGTGCGGTAATCGTTCACATAGAATAGGCGACCAACCTGGGGTGAAGGGCCGGCGAGTACGGCCGCATTTACTCGCCGGCGCTGGCGTTTCCCGCCTTGTATGAGCATGGTGCTCGACAACGGCGGGCGCCAGACCCGAAGGACCTATGAAACCAGCACCAACTGTCACTCGCTTCCGAAACCGCCTTTCGGCGTGGCTTGGAAGATGGCCTTTTTGGGCGAGTGGTGACGGGTTTGCGAGAACTTGAGCGAGCTCGGGGGACGTAGGGTTGGGGTACGTTACAACGGTTTTGAAAGTTAAGACGCGTGTGGATACACGTGCCGTTGCCGCAACTAAGTAGTTGTCTGTAATACTAGTTCTCGCTATGATCTTGTTTGCTATGAGGGCGACCTGATGGAGTGGTGCGTCCTCGAGCAGAGCCGTCACTGTTGGCTGAATATGAGCCGGTAGAGACTCGTGCCATAATTCTTTAACTATTTCTGAATCGGCTGCTGTTGTTCCTGCAGGGGAGTGTAGGCGCGTGAGGTGACGACAGGGTTTAGCATCAGCACAGAGGGTGACGTGCTAAAAGTGTCCTCAAGCGTTCCTCTCTAGATGGGAGGAAGTGTCGAAGAATCGCCTCTTTCAGACGAGGACTACATCACGAACAGCAGCGATGTGGTTCCCCGGGCAGCGATTCAAGAGCGAAAGCGTATTTCTGCTTTTGGCTCGTAATTCGATGAATCTCGAATTGAGACTTTGGTGCGGCAAAGCATACCTAAGGGTCATGGGGAATAAATGCTACAGGTCTAAAGTGGATGGCCTATGTATCAGAGTCTATGATATTAATGCCACTCTTATCGCTATCCGCCATACCGAGTATAGTATATAATAAAAATTAATATAAAAATACACGACAGACGTGTATGAAAAAACAACAGACTCATCAAAATGACTTCCTGAGGCGAAAGGACCACAGTTTGTGGCGTATTCCAGTAATCGGCTCACCAATTGTAGCGTGGTGTCGAGTCCCAGTTGACTATGAACACCGCTACTGAGAAGGCGGAATCGATTCAAGTTTATTTGATTGGTGATTTCATGGTATCGAAAAAATACCAAGAACGTGCCAAGAAATGGTACAATCAGAAGCAGCAGAAGGGAGTACCTGCGAACAGAGTCACGAACCGCGAGACAAAAATAATGGAGGATAATGGTAGCACAATATGTCTGTCATTAGCACAGCTAAACAAACGGGTACAGTAAAACAATCACTCGTACAATTGGTTATAATAACAATAATTGTTTTCATTAAACCAATCGCGTTCTCGTGATAAAAGTAAGTCACTACACATCCTTGCACCAAAACATAAAGTTTTCATGCATAGTTGGCTCGAAGTAAGGAAGAGCATTTGCAAGTATGCAAAATTCACACTCCGGCTTAAACGACCATACAGTTACAACACCCCTGTGTCCATGATGTAATAATCATTGTTACGTAATGTAACGGTGAATATATCCCCAAAATCGATTGCTCTGTAAATCTTCGACATTGGATACTTGTGGTGCGTGCTACTTATATTGACTTGATCAGTATATAACGCGAGTCAGGAATGTAATGTCTGGCAGCATAAGATTGGGAAGATCGAGAAAGGAAGGACGGGAATAGAAATCAATTAGTATAGAAATGCAAGAACAATGAAGTCTGAAACAATTATTGAACACTTTGCAAATTGGGTATTATAGTATGATTTTTCTATTCTACCAAGTAACTATGTCATGTTGGGTTAAATACAATTCAGTCGCCTTCATCTGAGAACCATTTCACTACATTTAGTGTCGACGCCTCCACTAAGCATGAAAATTCCATGGCCAAAGAAAATTCTAATCATCGGTTTCACGAACCGGTTTTAAACTTACAGGCGGCAAATCGAAACCCTATAGCTGCATGTGGTAAGAGGTATGTTTACATTAACGTGGGTTTACGCAAACCCACCCAGTGGATTTTCGTTGTTGCAGATATTTTAATGCCAATTAGTATAGGCCTGTTACAACATCACAATCAACTCATTGATACGTGTAAACGGAGGCTAGTAAAAGGAAACACTAATTTATCTGTTTCAGTAACTTCTTTTCCTGGTTGCAGATTATCTCCAGTCACAGTCAGGCACACGATAAATCCATTCTATCAACAATTACTCGACAAGTATACTGGGATATACCAACCGCAACTGAAATTGCCGTGTGTAACCAGCAATATTACACATCACATCACGACTACAGGACATCCAGTATTCTCGAAAGCGCGCCAACTGGCTCCCAAAAAGCTGAGGTTGGCGAAAAACGAATTCGACCACATGATAGAATTAGGAATCATTCGGCCGTCAAGCAGCCCATGGGAATCTCCCTTACACATGGTCCTTAAAATGGGCAGCAACGATTGACGTCCAATTGGTGACTATCGGCGATTGAATGCAAAATCCACTCACGATCGTTACCCGTTGCCTCACATTCACGACTTGACAGCTACCTTGAAAGGTACAACTGTCTTTTCGAAAACCGACTTGGTCAAAGGCTATAACCAAATTCCTATGGCCACTGACGACATTCCTATAACCGCTGTCATCACTGTTTTTGCATGCTTTTCGGCCTAAGAAGTGTTGCATAAACCTTCCAAAGTTTCATAGATGACGGTAGTGCCTTTACTACTGCGAGGAATTGTGCACGTGTGCCGTTCGTGTGGTGCTCGTAGAAGTCGACCTCTGCATAACAAAACCATTCTTCGATGTTGTCTGGCCAAAAGGGCATTAGTTGAAATGAGGGTGGAGTCATAGTCATTAATTTAAGTAACTTAGGTGTCTGTTTTGTCATGGCGAAATATCAAGTATATATATATATATATATATATATATATATATATATATATATATATATATATATATATATACGTATTTAAAAATACGAAAGAAAATCACAATGCATAAAAATTACAGTGTAGCAATGACATATAGAATTACAAAAAGGAACAAACTCACATTTGGTTAGTTGGTGTACCAGATCACGTCGGGCTCACCAATAAAAATGCCACAGGTATTATGAGTTTGACAATGCTCCAACGAGTAACACCTTCTACCATGACTTCATTTCGTAGTGTACTTCAGACATACAACACATGTCTGGAGCAAACAATGTAGTTGCCGACGTCTTGTCTCATATAATTTCCTTGAACAGTTTCCAAGGAATCGACCCTCAGTCTCCCAATTTTGTGAAAAATTTGACGCATTTCGGGGAAGCTGCTATAAAAAATTTTGAGGAAATGGCATCAAAACCCTAAATTTTCCCAAAACTTGGGAGATTGGTCTTTCCTAAACTCACCCAGCCTCGAAAAGAAGACACTGATCTTCAGGACGAGTTATCTTCAACAACCCTAAAACTACGCATTACACAAATGGGAACAGGTAAGGAAACCTTATTATGCGACACATCCATAGGTCGGAATCATCCAATAGTGCCGAAATATTATCGACGCAACGTCTTCGATACGTTGCACAAAATTTCTCACTCAGGTGTTCGTGCAACCATTAAGCTTATAGGAGGACGGTTTTACTGACCTAGTATGAATAAAGACGTGAGGGGGTGGGCACGCTGCTGTGTAAGCTGTCAGAAATCTAAGGTGACTAGACACAACAAATGTACCTTAGGCTCATTCAAAACAGTCGATGCTCATTTCGACCATGTTCATCTGGATATGGTAGGACATTTACCAGTTGAATCTCATCCGCATAAAGGATCGGGTTCGTGTGATAATTAGAAGTATTTGAATTATAGTATGAACTAAGAATCCCAGAAATAACGTAATCGGATCAAGAAGTACTAGATAACCACAAATGAATGTACTATATTTAGAATTCGAAATCAAGCATTAAACAAGTACAAAGGAATCATAAGTTCATTCAAACACTACAGTTCGGTTATAGCGAAATCACTCAAAACTATTTATCGTAGAAAGACGAAGGAAATTTTTTTACCATATATACATTTGTGATTGAAGTGAATACAGTTAAATATTTAACTAATTTCAGTGTTAGAAGTACTAGAAATTCAGAAAAAGTATGTTCGTTAGTAGGAAAAAGGATAAATCAAAATAAATCAGTCGATTGCTCCTTGAAGGCCAGATTTAAAAACATGAAGATTAAAAGCGAACGTTCTACTGTGATCTTGTAGTGGATTACACTTCGAAGAAGTAGAAAAATAAAATGTTAACTGAAAGAGACATATGTACAAATACTATCTTCGATAATTCTAGGCTATTCATCATCAAATTCCCATTTTCTTTACAGGCAATTAAATTGCTTTATTCCTGTCAAAAAGGTAAAATACTGTCATGTAAGAATATGATGTAGATATGAAATATAGACAAAAGTAAAGTTCAACAAACCAATCATGCCTGACTTCAAGTCCACGGAGCATACGTCTAACTAACATGATGCTTATCTTCGCATTATTAATAATCTTAATGAGACATAGTAAACATGTTACGAAATTCCTTGTTCAAAGTTATTTTCTTTGATAGAGATCCAACAGCCAGTCATATTCAATAAATTGTTTTAAATCTAAAACATCTGCTGTGTTAATCATCGGCTGCTGCATCTAGAGAATAAGGGTTGATTATCTTAAAAATGACAACCCTAGTTGTGAAACAACTGCAAATCTCTTTTATTAATCCATCAAATATTTTTTCAAATAAAAGACGTCTCGTTTATTTACTGAAAGTTGATTAAAAAGTCTTCCAGTTAATAATTCAAAACCACGTCGTTGGCCTATTAATCCTTCAGTTTAGTTCCTAATTGTTCGGATATATAATTGATTGTTTCTATGATAGAAATTTTATGTGTAAAAACAATTTCTCTGCATATTTAACAATCTACAAATTGAAGTAAATCTTTAGCAGTGAAACTGATCGAATCCCTGTGCCATGGTTCATATGGTATTAGCATAAATTTAGTGCTGAGTTATACATTGAATTAAACATATTAAGAATCAAGTGTAACACTGCATGTCCCAAAGTTACCAATGATAGTCTTATCAGTGCATGTCACTCCAATGTGATCCTGTAGGGCTAATCAGATAAGCCTCAAACAGAGGGCCTAACTCTCCTGTTTGATGAAATGCGTAATCGAAATCCATGGAAAAATCCATCCTTTGTTATATAATAAATACTGAACATCTCATCAAGAAATACAGAACCATTTTATCACATTATTATTATTATTATTATTATTATTATTATTATTATTATTATTATTATTATTATTATTATTGTTCTCACTATTGTCACAATAATCCAGCCATAGCAGTTCTCTAAGTTTGTATATCATTTAAAATTATTTTACTCTATCAATTATAAACACCCAACTTTCAGTATTTTTATTACCATTTTCTTGTATGACCTCAACAAATAAAGAAATATAATTATTTTCAATGCATAACTATTTTGATCAGTATTTTTAAGTACACATTGAAGTAGCACTTGTAATTGGATTTCTGAATTTAGAACATGAACTTATTCAAAACACTAGTTTTCCGAAAAATGCCCAGTTTTTTTTTTTTTGAACAGACATTATTCATAAGAGCTATCATCTTATCTTGGATTTTTTTGCTGTTGTCCTGATCTGAATGCCTTTCCTACCTTCATCGTTTCAACTATTCACTGTTCTATTTATACACCCACATATATAATTTTTAAAGCTTTTACTTTACTATGTTTCAACACACATGTAGTGATTAAAAATGTAATCATGAAGAATTGAGGTCTATGATATACCTATATTTTAACACAGGATTAAATATCGAAGCTTGGAAACTTTGAAACAGTTAAAAAAGCTTAAATTGTGATCAGTAATTATTTTCAAATTTATCCCTTTCTGAAAGGAGAGTACCCAAACGTATTTTTTTGTTTTTCAAACATCAGTAATCAAGAGCATAGTGGAGTTTATGGTCAGATTGGATGATCACTAACATGTTAACTTTCTATCCATGTATAGGGAGTATGAAGTGTGTATCAATAAACTGTAATAATTAGCCTGTATTTCGATATAAAGTGTGGGACATTATTAGTGAACTCGAGCTCTTCAGGTCAGTCAATATAATTTATTCATTTGTTTTGTAATAAAGTATTTTTGTTTCAAATCGGGATTTGAAATTTAACATCACTACAAATAACCCATGATCATTTCTAGACAGTACTTATTCATGTTGTTTGGAAATGTTAGGAAATTAGTGAGTGATTCTTAGGTTTTTCTGTACCTAGTTGAAAAGAAATCACGTTTAATTTTCATGTTGACTACCTAACTTTCATATTGTCACTCTGATAAACATGGGTTAAATTTACTGTTAATCGTAGAAACTACTTTAACAAAACCTCTGTTTAATGAGATAATAGAAACCATCTTACCATCTTAATGTTCTGTTTTTACATCCATCCTTCCACCAAAACATAAAGTTTTCATGCATAGTTGGCTCGAAGTAAGGAAGAGCATTTGCAAGTATGCAAAATTCACACTCCGGCTTAAACGACCATACAGTTACAACACCCCTTTTATGCCAAGCAAAATATTCGTTGTAAGCAGTGTCATTTTTATCAAGGTACTTCAAATATTTGGCCAGTTCTTTCGGATTCTCAAATTGATCCACATGAATGAAAGAATGAGGTGGTGAAACTTTGTGATACTCCTCAATTGAGGCACCCATAACTATGGGTAATGCATTGTTCCTAAATAAATATGGACATAAATAGTTATTTCCAATACATTTTGGTCGAATATCTATTACTGATGATGATACATACTAGAGATTATTAAGGATGCATGTGTTTCAAGTAATAGTGATTTAAATCGTCCAATAACACAGATGTTTATCCCATAGTAGGACGAAACGGCCACCCAGGTTTCTATAGTGGTCTAGTTTCAATTGACTCATGTTATCAACTATTGAAATTACTATAATATCCACAAAAACCCCTTCTGATATTTATCTAAATGCTTAGATGTGAGTACCTAGTGTCTTGCAACTGGTCAAAAAACCACTCTTTTTCTAGAATAATTTTTTAAAAAATTACTCTTTGCAGTACGCGAGATATATGTAAGCAAATAATATACTAGATTTCTGAAACGAGATTGTCAAAACTCCCCAATCACCTATCCCGACAAGTGTGATTTATACGCTGGTGCTTCAAAAGAAGCCCATCAGTTGCAACTTATTTACACTTTCTAACATTTGTTGCATTTCCCTCTCACTTTATACATTTTTACCATACAATATGATCCATGAAGTTTAAAATGATTCAGTTCAGATGATCGAGTAGCATCATTAGTTCCTGAAATATACAGTCATCTTGATGTTAAACTACTTTCATAGCAAAAAAATACGTTTATTGCTTTCACGAAACAACTCCACTTTTTAGTAGATCTTAAATTTTAACAACCTCAGTTTCTATGTGTAGTCAATCTCGTTAAACATAATAGGAAATAAATAATTTTTCATTGAACAGTTTATTGGTCTTAAAAGCTGTATCCAGTCAGTCAGTCAGCTACAACGTAGGACCAGGCACTTATACGCATCGGTCCAAGTTGCCACACCTCATTAGCACAATAAGATGAACACCGAATTCATAGAATTAGTTAATTCAGTGGTGGTAACATATAAAAGACAGATTGCATATGAGGGCATAGTACAGGAGGAAAGAATTAATTCGCAGAAAGAAAGATATAAAGCGATTTTAATCTCATATTTTAAGGAAAGACAGAGAGTGTATACACCGACGCCATTGTGATCGATTCTCAGCCATGTCACTTACAGTCTCCAATCATTGGTTACGATAGTCACGCGGACCCCAACCAAGTAGTCTGCATCTACCAACATGGCTCAAACCAGAAGTCAGTGACTTCAAGCACTGATGACACGTTTTGGTTTGTCTGCCCCTAACTTTCTTCCAACCATTTCCAATACCGGTTAGCATTGCACGTCGTGGTAAACGGTGTTCAGGCATACGTAACACGTGGCCCAACCATCTCAGTCGATGAAGATTCACAACCTCATCAACTGATTTACCATCATTCCCTAATATTCTGCGTCGTACCTCACTATTACCTACACGGTAATCCCAGCAGATACCAGCAATATTTCTAAGGCATCTGTGGTCAAATACTAGTAGCCTGCTATTAACTTTAACCCTTAGTGGCCACGTTCCGCAGCCGTAAAGTAAGACAGAACGAACTGCTGCATAGTATACTCGTCCCTCGATTCATAGATGGATATCTCGCCTTCGATATAGGTGACGAAAATTCACAAAAGCCAAACGAGCCTTCTGAATCCACGACGAGATTTCGTCAGACACCGATCCATTAGGACTGATCAAACTTCCAAGATGAGTGAAGTTGTCAACGCGTTCGACTACTTCACCACATATCTCTAGTTCAGGTTTTGACGCAGGCTGGTTCTGAAGCAACATCTTGCATTTAGACTGGGAAAAGCGTATCTCAAACGTTCTGGCATTGTTACTTGGTGCTACCAAAGACTGCATTTTGTCAGCATCTTCACCAAACAGGACTATGTCATCTGCGTATTCTAAGTCGATAAGTGGACCTCCTGGAAGGAGATCAATACCCGAAAACTCAGTCGACGACAGCGTTATTTCCATCAGTAGATCTATGATGAAGTTAAACAGAAATGGAGAAAGTGGACAGCATTTGCGAACACCAGTTGAGGTTGCAATAGCAGATAACAGTTCGCCATAAGCTCTGACTCGACTGGTAGTGTTCGAGTAAAGAGCCTAAACAAGGTTTATTTACTTCTGAGGTACGCCTTCCAATGACAGACACTGCCACAGAATCTCGCGGTCTTCGGAGTCAAATGCTGCATTTAAGTCAAGAAAGACCACCATTGTCGGACAACGGTAAGCATGTCTGTGTTCTAGAACCTGACGAATGGTGAATATGTGGTTGATGCAGCCACGACCAGGTCTGAAGCCAGCCTGATTTTCTCGTGTTTGCAGTTAACGGGTCTTAGTTAGGCAACCGACAATTATTGATGTTAGTATTTTAGATGCTATGTTAGTCAGGATGATTTTGACCCTCTCTTATATATTGGGACGATCAGTGATTGTGACCAGTCAGATGGGATTACGTCCAACTCCCAGATTTTAGCTAAAATATTAGTCAAACTAATCGCTAGAATTGAACCACCATCCTTAAAGACCTCTGGAGCCAATCCATCTGGACCAACCGCCCTTCCTCGTTCCAGATTAACTATAGCCTTTTGAACTTCAGTTACAGTTGTGGAACTAATTCAATGTTTCATTCACACTATCTGGGAATGGTGGGTAGTTGTAGAGTAACTGAAGGCCAGCTGAACTGCTCCTTAAAATGTTACGCCCATCGTTTTAAACGTCTGGACTGGGAGCAGATAAGAGTGTTGTCTGTTTCCTAGATAGTGCATTTTTAGGATCAACCTTTCCTAACCCCACCCCTCCTTGTGGAAAGGCAGCATCGCCGTCATGCTGGTTGTCTGAAGGAAAAACCTTACTGCTGTCACACCTCTGTACAGTCAGCAGTACGACATCGCCCTCAGACTTTGCGTTTGTTACTTCTAGTCTTACCGCTCTTCAACCAACCTGTGTGATATGGTAGGATCTTGAGGACCGATTGTTCCAGCCAGTAGAGCTCGATTGGTTCATCACGATAGGCAAGCCCGACCATCACGTCAAGGTAGCAACAAAAAGAATGGTTGGGAAACTGTGTCCATGATGTAATAATCATTGTTACGTAATGTAACGGTGAATATATCCCCAAAATCGATTGCTCTGTAAATCTTCGACATTGGATACTTGTGGTGCGTGCTACTTATATTGACTTGATCAGTATATAACGCGAGTCAGGAATGTAATGTCTGGCAGCATAAGATTGGGAAGATCGAGAAAGGAAGGACGGGAATAGAAATCAATTAGTATAGAAATGCAAGAACAATGAAGTCTGAAACAATTATTGAACACTTTGCAAATTGGGTATTATAGTATGATTTTTCTATTATCAAATATATCTTCGAACCTCATCGGTTCAGGCCTTTAATTTCACTCGATGGTTACGATTCGTATTAGAAGGTGTTACTGGTTAAAGCATTATCAAGCTCCAAATACCTGTTGCATCTTCAGTAGTATTTGAAATCGATAACGTACAGTTAAAAAACAGAATACAAATTATTTTGACGTGATTTCAATGAACCGTTACTTACATTAGTGCGTTGAAGAAGAACTTTTCTGTTATATAATCTTGACATAGTGAATTTTCAAAACTCAGGTAAAACTTGTAATGTTTCCGTACCAAATCAAAACATTGCGAACCGGAGCAGGTCATACGACCACATCGACCATACACATCAACCTAAAGTTAAAAACACTATGGTAAAAAGACTAATTCCAATCACTGAAGCTTGTTTACAAACAATAGAATTTTAGGTGTACAGAACTGCTTCGTTCACTGGAATACAAAATACGTACATTTCTCAAATAATCTAATAAAGAAACTTGAGAAATTCATGTAAGTTTTCTGATAAAAAGAAATTTTAAAAGATTTTAAAGTTACACGATTTCAGCTATTCGAATATCTAAAATAAAATAAAATCTGTTACAAAATTAAGAAGAATAAACTAATGTCAATAGTAGAATATGTTAGTTGTGTTAATAGATATTGTAACCCCAATAATCTTGTAATGACCTTTTTAAGACCCAGCGATGACCATCAACTATACCAGCGATTTTTTATGATTTAGTTGAATCAAACACTAATTAAAAACAATTATTTCATTATTGGTCAGTTGTCAGTATTTACCGTTAAACATCCTTTAATTCTTTCATAGTCCAAATGTATGATATGAACTGTCATGAGTGTAATGCATCATATGTAGGTGAAACTTCAATACAATTGAATGTGAGGTGAAAGGAATACAAATAATGTGTGAAAAATGTTCCCAAATTCTTGGTTGATCTTAAGAAGCTTAAGAATAGGTCGGCGATAGCGTTACATGCGTTGGAAACACGACACGAGATCAATTTTGAAGGGACCAAAATATTTCAGAAAGGTTTTAACACATAAAGGAAGATTGAGAGCAGAAGTGCTGTATATATGGGCGAACAGGAACAGCCTGAACAAAAAGAATGGTATCCAACTAGCAACCACAGGGCCAATATTCGTTAACAAGTAATTGGTCAGTTCTCCCTCTCCAAATGCTCTCACATGGACACGTGCATACAACCACTGCAAGGGAAGTCCTACTTAATGCCTTCTCGCGGCAGGGGGCTTGTTTAAGAAATTGAGAGACCGAGAAGCGAATGTCCAGTGCTTTAACCGGGTTGGTAGATATGGATGATCCACCTAGGGGAGATGGAAAATCCTGATTCCAAACCGATGGTGCACATGGGCTCCAGGATCCTGAGGGAACAAATGGCGTATGAACCAACCGTTGGTCACCGGCTACCATGGGACTGCATCTCCTAAAGTTGCTCCACTGTCTTGTGGATCAGATCTTTAAGTCGGCTCCGCGTGTGGCCCCTAAGAAAACCACCTGTTTAGGTCTTGGCAACCAGTCAATATCACAGCCCACACACAAATAAAATGAAAGGATGGTGAGTACTGGAAATACTATTCTCGCTTAAATTAAAATTCAGACAATTCACATTCATTATTATTTTTTTATATACCACATCACTTATCTACTCACTTCTATTTTCACTTTATGTACCCTTATTTCTCAACTTGTACAGCGGCTTGCCTATGGCGGAAACCATGTTCTATCTAAACGACCTCGATTCACTGACTGATCGAAAGTAGAATGATACCACTGAATACGAACACTGAAACAGTCCTCTTGAAACCACGTATACCATCCAAACTGGCTTCCTTCAACGTTCGCACACCAATGTCTTTAGAAAGTCTAAATATTGACGCTTGCTGTCTATCCGAGACCCGTATTCAAGACTAGTGAAGTACTACAAATTCTCTCTACATCCGTCGCTTCGAAAAGATTGTTCCGCGTGAGTTTATCCGGGGACGCTTACCTTACTTCTCAGTGTCCAACAAATTCATCATCCTGAACGGATTGATGTCACTAAATTGGTTGCAACTTCTGTCGCAACTGAATATCAAACCAAGCTAGGTTCAAGGACAGCTACCATCCCACCGAAAAGTATAGATGAGCATTGGTTGCAATTGCATGACGCCATCAAAATGGTTAGTAAAGTCGCTCGCAGCTTCGCAAAATCTCCCGCTTATAAGCACTGGGTTTCTTCAGGCTCCTTACAACTCATTGAAACCTATCGGTTTACTCTGGGTGACCGTGAGTTTGACCACAAACGACGACTGTTGCGTAATGAAATTGGACAAAGCTTGCGTAAAGACCGAGAAGCCTGGTGGTCAGAGCGTACTAATGAGCTGGAAGCAGCAGCTGCATCTGGTAACTACCCAAAGCTCTTCCAACTCATCCGAGTCACTGGCAGCAAGAAGTTTAGCGTGGGCGAAACAATTTGTAAGGATGACGAGATGCCAATCACTAACATCAATCGACGTCTTGGACGATAGGCAGAATTCTTCGAAGGGCAGTTCAACTGGCCTGTTGCTCCGTCAACATCGGTCAGACTGTCCTGCCCTCCATGGCCGGTGACGACTGATCCACCAAATAAGGCGGAAGTCCGCAAGGAACTCCAACTCTTGAAGCGCAACAAAATCACCTGGCCCAGTTGACTCACCTTAGGCCAATTTTAACGATGGTAACGACCTTCTGGTTAAGAAACTGACAACGTAGTTTACAAAGATTTTAGAGTTAGAGAGTGCTTCAACATCATATAAACTGTGCATCTTTGTAAACTGATTAGTTCAAATTCAAATAGCATCAAGTGCTTTGATTAGGTGTGAGAATTTGCATTTTTAAATTTGAATTTTATTTTGAATAAATAATTATGTCTGACTCTTCCATCCGAGTTTTGATAAAAATTTCAACTTCTGAAAAAAATACACCAACTGCATTTCACTATCCTGCTATACTCCTGTCAGTGAATGTATATTGGGATAAAGTTTTTTTCGATCAAGTAGAAATGGAACTGAATTCATTAGTTATCATCACAAAAGAAATTATATGTATATCATTAAAAGAAAATTTGGGGAGAACTAATAACTGGTTTTAATATTTGATAGTGATTACTGAAGTTGAAAGATAGTCAACTGTTTAATACACAATTAGTAAACAAATTATCACCTAAGTATTTCCATTAGTTTTTTCCTAATACATGGTATGGTATTTTAATAAACGTTATATGCGTATCAACGTATCAATAAATCATCATGATAAATAATGAATAGGACATGTATTATTCACACTAACCATTAAGGATCGGTAAATGAAGCAACTTTTACGCTATCCCAAAAAAGTAATAATTTCAGAGAAAGAACCAAATAATATTTATGATTGGGTCATTTTGTAAACGATAATTTTTAATTCAGAAGTGTTGTTTAGTTTCGCTTTAAAAAGGGTTTCGTTAATAAAACGTTAGATTGTAATTGAGTTATTTTTTTAATCCATTTTAAGCGTAAACTGATTTTACCTGTACATTCTTTGTAGTTGTGCAGGTTAAAATTACGACAAAATATACTTGTCTGTGTAAGCAGTCATGTAAATCGGTTATGTGTGCTTGAGAAGTGCGCGTTAGATTTTTTTCACGTTATGTCAACAGCAAATATTTTGTAAGTGCGCAGTCTAGCCAAATCATTATCTGAATTTGTAAATGACATAGCAAACTTTACTTATTTATAAAGTCGAAAATAAATAAAATAAATTATTTTCCTTAGATAATTGTGAGAAATAAGATGAATACGCTGGTATCAGTTAGATATCAGAAAAAAATTCACGCAACTTTGTGGATTGGTTGAGGTTAGACATTAACACCATTGGATGCGGGTTCAGTGGGGTGCGCGCGCGAGACTGAAGGCCTCGAGTTCAAATCATGCGAGTGGGATCGTGGATGCGCACTGCTGAGGAGTCCCACAGTGGTACGAAACGGCCGTCCAGTACTCCCAGGTTCTTAATGGTTGTCTAACATCAATCGGTTCATGATCTCAATCAGAAAAACTTATGTTTGGTACTGTCAATAATTATCAGACAATCGATACTGAACAACTGATTGAATCATTTGATATAATCAACTTACTGTAATATATTTAGCTAGTTCATTTGCATAAACATTTCTTGGACTCCTAGGATAACAGTTACTCACTATCCAGGCAACAGCTCTATCTTTTCCTTTGGCTATATTCTCCAATTTCGTCGAATTGGTTGTTTTATTGATATCGTCTGTTTTAGGTTCATTTGGTGTATACATTCCATAAGGTGTGCGAATAGTTGAATCAAATCGATATGATGCAGTGAAGTTAATCTGAGAAATATACAATAAATAAAATAAATGTTTCTATCGGACGAATTTTTTAAAAATCCTGCTAGATACTTAAAAGGTCCTATATCCATTTTAAATACACATGAAATATTTCACTGTAAATATGTAAAAGTAAACCATGAGTCCATACCAACATTTAAAACATTTTGAAATAATTGGGCCAAATATATTAGTCGTCACTATTACGTACAACACAACGCAAAGCATAGAGAAATCAACTGGAAGAAAACTCAACAAGACACAAATACAAACTTATTTTTATTGATTTACTCAGAATGGTTTACACACAACAAATTTCGACGAAAAAAATTTTCAAGTCACTTTAAAATCATATGCGTTTCCTGTACTGACCTCAGTTAGCCGCGAACACTCTACGAATTAATTATTGACTGCATACATGCTTTCATTTACCTATGTGCAAACTTCAGATAAATCTAGATTATGAAATATGGTAGTTAAATATACGGAGACAAAAAGGAATATTATTACACTACTTTGTTCTCTCAAATTGTAAGGAAAAATCATTATTTACCCATAATTATTTGAATAAACTTAACCTTATTTGATTGAATATTCGAGACTGTTAAACTCACTTTATCATTAAGTTCATCACTAAATCGAGTATGGAGTGCTGATTCATACTCGAATGCCACCCAAGCCTGTTGATGTGGACGCTTTCCGGATGGAAACTGTCTGTTTGGAATTAAAATAAGATCACTTTGAATCCAACGAGTTGTATCGGTATGGATAACACAATTGTTCACTGGACAATTTGTTACATCTTTGTTCATATCTGCCAACATCCGCCCGTAGATGATAATTTCATGTTTCTGAAAAAGTATTTTGAGATAATTTCGAAGCTCGGACAAAATGTTAATAATATACTACCCAACATGTGTACAACATTTGGCATACTTGTTATATCCCAACGAGAATGATGAATGGTAACTTTTGAAACTATTTATGGACCAATAAGATACATGTATTTCAATTGTATAGTCGTTAGGTAGCTAAATTATGCATATTCATGTTTCTCTTATTATAAGCTTCATTTTTACTTATAGACGATTATTATACGATTTACCGTTCTTGAGTTCTGCCCAGTCTATTAATTATAGTTTCCCACATTCACAGTCACTTTTGGCTAGATCTTGTACAAACGTTGTTTTCCATTTTGTGGTGCGATGTGGTCTGTTTGGTTTGTTTATAAACCCAGTATGTTCAAAATACATGATTCACATCGCGGAGGCTGGGTTCGCTGTTCTGGAATCAATAGGCAGGGCTAAGCAGGAAGAAGAAGGACTGATAATGACTCTAGACTGCTCGTATGGGTTATATGCGTCATTGATCAGGTAGATAAGTCACTATTCTCTAACTGGCGGTATCATTACGTTATATATTAATAGGGAACATGGCCACAAGATATAACAATACTTCTATGTATTCTAATTAGGCTACTTAATGAAAAAGAATGTCAGTCATTGGTAAAAACAAACCAACCAATTACCACGAACGAACCGAAACAATAAGGCTCCGTTTATTTCGATTAAACGTGCTTTCGATTATGACACGTTTACATGCAAACAAGATAGTCACTACTAACCTAAAAATAATCTATAACACAATCGAAATATTTTAGTTCACATAATGTCAGTTATTGAGTACGAGTTATAATACTATCAACAATATATTAGAATTCTCATGAAACGATATAAAACATGGTCAATCAGAGTATATATCGATTTAATATAAACATAACACAACTAGTTGAAAAAGTTGAAGGTGACTCAAGTTTGATGAGAAAAATAAAACAAGAATGATTTGTAAAGGAGCACAATACGAAAATAAAATCTAATCAGTTCAATAACGTGAAATAGATATACGATTTGTTTCATATACGTGAATTGACAGCATCTACCAGAAAACTGTGAAAATTAAGTCTCTATCTGTTCTGATCGAAGTGTTTTGTATTAGATATAAATATGAATGTATGCCGTTTTCGAGGAATTGTTCATGACAATTTCATCGTTATTTTGCACATTTTTTGCGCCGTCATTAGTTCTGATTTTGGGCTACTCATACCGTTGATGAAACCACCTGATTAAATGTGTTAGTAAAACAATTTCTGAATAGGGAGATGGAAGAAGAACTGTTGATATTTTTGGTTTGGCAAATGTGAAGAACGTTAATGTTATTTCTCTTCTGGATGAACAGGAACAAGCTTAAAATATCATGATCAATTTTCAGTCAGTTTCTATCCATTCAGAAAATAAATTCGTTTGGTGTTGTTTTATTTGTATCTTCCCATCGTTATTTAGGACTGCAATTGATCAGTCTCCTGTTGGCATATGTGCATCCTGTGAGATTGTCTCGATATAGCCTTAAGTCATAAGCTATTAAAGCAAAGATGTATAGTGACTAGCAATGGAATCCAGGACGCGCGTTTCGTCGTATTTGGGACTCGTCGTCTGGATGTATCTGTATCTCAGGGTTGATGTTCACTCCGGGACTCCTTTCCTCCGACCCTTATAAGGACTCAAACTGAATTTTAAGAGTCCATATTCTGTTCCCATGTCAGATGTGGTACAAAATGCTTTATAGTTTTATTTATAAATGATTTTTACTGTAAGAGTAGAAGAGATGCTATCTGATTAGTTCATCCATAAAATATAATACTCCCAGGTTTATATTTGTTCCAGAACTAAGGTACGGGGTTAGGAATCAGGGACAGTGTTGATTTGTCTAAAGAGAAAGAGTTAAGCATTTGACACATCTGGTAGTAACAATTTTACTCTGTGATTGCAGCAAAATGTTTTCTTTTTCTTTTAAAAGTCCTAAAGCTAAAGAGAATTATTTACTGCTCGTTATACGTGATATTTGAGTTTAGCTAATAAACCTAAAAGTCGTCCGTCCCGTCCCTACACTATACTTTTATGGTTTTCTGATTAGGGTATGTGACTGAGAAGAAAAGTGCATCTAAAGGGTTTAAACAACGAACTTTATTATATGTAAAACAACATAATAATTAAGTAGGTTACCTCCAGACATGTTATCATGAGCACCCTCATTAAACGAAAATAAGAAGTAATCAGGTCAGAAATAAGATAAGACTAACCTTGGTTTTATTTAACAGAAGACGCCCAATCATTACGTCACTGAAAAAGCATCATGTATACAAGAATGGATATTTCTCACTTTCTGAAAACTTCGAAGTTTGGATAATAAACAGGCTGTTTAACCATATTCCATATTGCTAGGTTTTGGTAGTTTGAAATATACTGACCTATTTCGTTTAGGCTAAGACCCCACATGTACCAAATTCCAAAGGTAACAGTTGAGACTGCCAAGATTATCATAACTTTGAGTCTAACTACTGAGGTGATTCTAGAGAAGTCTTTGACAGGTTCCATAGTGAAATTATTTGAATAAACCTTCGTCTCAGTAAGTTTCATTAATTTATGAATATGTGTTACTAGTAAATTTAGAACACCAATAATTAAGCTTTTCAGTAGTTAACATGTATCCAATCCGATTTAAATATAGAACATATAAGAAAGTCTGCCCAATTAGATTGCTCATGTTCTAAAATATGGTTAACAACCTTGCCACAATGATTACACGGAATGAATGTAATTGGTGAAGATCGAAATTAAACATATATCTTTATTTTGTTTTGGATTAAAAACGAAGAAATGAAAATATTTAATTTCAGATCAAAGGTTAGATGATTTGAGTTGACAACACATTACTGTATACTAAACTGATCAGAGAATAAATCAAACATCACTTCACGAAGGGAACGAACATTAGGCGTTATGCATATAGTGTTATGTGTAGAAATTGCATTTTCTCAATATATTATTTTCTTAAAAAACTTACCAATTTCTTGAAATAGTAACAACGAATACTTGCTAGAATTCAATGATTGATTTACTAACCAGTTTTATAAATGAGTAAGTTAGCAATAATAATAATAATAATAATAATAATAATAATAATAATAATAATAATAATAATAATAATAATAGTGTTCTGAAGTTTTTCGAAAAGTAAATAGGACAGTTTATGAAGGTGAACATTAATTTGATTTCGTTATTTTTTACTTTAGCTATAAATAATTTTCTGTTGTAATGTTTATTTTGGCTTTTTTTTCTTTAGGGTAACACTGATGTGAAACTTTTATCAAACAGTAAAAGCTTTATACGTCAGGAAGCATGCTTCCTCTACATGGTCACTATAAGCTTTTGGTATTAGTCTTCAATTCCACAGGTGAATTCTGATATTTTCACTTTTGGTAATTATAAGAAATCATACTTACACATATAATTGATATCTCTGGCGCTAAAATAACGTCTATATATGAGACAGTTTAGATAGTTTCGTCATCATATCAAGGTCCATCGTTCAGGTTAGCTATTGAATTCATGTGAGTCTATAAAATAATTTGTGATATGAAATTTTTGTTAGATTTAAAGTATGATAGGTACATACTAGTAAATGTATCCCATAATTGGAGCTCGAGAGAGCAAATTACTCATTACCTCTGATTCAATCGAATTGTTTTTGAAAGCATTACCTTTCGTTGCTGGCAACATTTCACTTGGAGACCTAGATATATACAAAAATGCATGTGAAGGTGAAGGTCAAGATGCAAAGTCGGTGTTTCATAGGGTGATACGTGTTGACGTTTCAGTATATTAACCACTGTAGTAGATTTTGTTAGGAGATATGTATTTTTATTCCTAATCAATAAACCGATTCATATAGGTAAAAACTGGAGGATATTCTTGTTAGTCTTTGTTTCAAACATTTTGCACAATTCGGGTAGTCTGTTAGAAATAAATATGTTTCAGGGAACTAGTATATCATACCACTAATATTTTTTCATAAAAAGCATTGATTTTACGAAAAATTGCAGTTTTATTTCCAACTTCCTTTCAGTAACTATGGAGATTCAAGAATTTGCGAGAACCCCAAGGACTAATAATGAGACATTTCATGAATCGGCAGGTGAAATGCAGTCAAAGTTTACTAATGCATTATGACGAACAATTCCAAGAATTCACCTGAGACGAGCTAAGTATTTGGTCACTGAAGTGAATGCACGACCGAATGATGCGAGTACTGAAGTAGCTTAAAAGCCAAAAATCAATAATTTGCTCACTGAACAAATTCTGAATTTCAAACTGACCAGGGTTCAAAATGTATAAACATCAGCCAAATGACTGAATAGAGAAATGGCGTTTCATTTCTACGAGAAATATTCACCCGCGATAGAAAAATTTGTCAAGTTTCAAATGCGAAAACATGGTCAATAGATAAATGATATGAACGATAATTGACTAACATGTCAGAGAAATATGTTCACTCTATAATTCTTAGTACAAATCTATACGTTTGTATTATAACTCGGATTTCACCACAGACTGTGTTCCGTTTGTCGACTGAGATAACTTGCGTTAAATAATATACTGTCTGACTTTTATTGGGGTTTTGATTTATGATTGTGAATACTGGATATGACATGACCCAGTCTTTATCTAATGTATCTATTTGAGGTATTATCCTATTGGCGTACTGTATCCTTGGGATGAAAATATATTTTTCCGTTACAACAATAAAGAGTACGAATTTCACTTTGCCAGTATTAGTAGTCATAATTGTAGGTGAAGCCAAATCGCTTACTTATATTCACCAAAGAAGGATTTATTATTGTATCACGTGATGTGACCATCAATTAGAGACATCACCCTGTACGACCAAACTAATGACTCATAAATCTGTAGCAGCCTAAAGTTCCTACTGGTCCTCTGAAATAGCAGCTTCTCTTCCAACCCAGACAGTTCAGACCAGAACGCCAATATCAACGTCCGCAATACAAATCATATATTTTAGACATACTAGGCTTATATACGAACAAACCAGACTGCATCATACGATAAATAGAAAATAACAGTTAAACAAGAACAAGCTAAAATGTGGTTGTGATTGTGAGAGTCCGATACTAACAAATTGGGAAGACCTCAGGAATAGTAAATATCATGATAATAGTTAAACGCTCGCTCGCGAGACTGATAGGTCCTGGGTTCGAATACTGTAAGGGCGGGATAGTGGATGAGCGATGCTGAGGAGTCTCATACTAAGATGAAACGGCCGTCCAGTGCTTCCAGGTTTTCCATGGTGGTCTAGCTTCAAATGACTCATGATTTCAACTATTGAAATTACTAAAATTTTCACGAAACCACTTCTGATAATAGTCAATAAGTCAAATAAAAGCTTATAATGATATATATACATTTACACCACTACTACGGCTGCTATAATCGTAGTTTGCTTGCTCATCTATTTTTGCCTCTCTGCAGTATGGTCCGAATCATCTGCTAAATAAACTGTAGTAGCTGCTTCTTTTTGCCTTCCGATTTCAAACCCCGTCGAAGATTGTATGGTAACGGTACGAGGGTGATTAGTTATCGAAGCACAGCCACTACAGTATTAAAGTAACCAGTCAGTACCAAAAGTATGAATACATCTAACTGATATTTTGTGGTGACTGAATTTTTTACCATAGTGCTAAATACTTAAAGGTAGTTCTGACCGCATATATCAACAAGTTTCATCACCGTTTGGTATAACATACCTATAGAAAACGTTATCAGTATAGTTCGAATGGCAGAACCGAAGAATGCCAAATATAGTTCCTAATAATGTCATCTATTTGAGTTCTTGTTCGATTAAAGACTACTCAAGGTACCATATCGTTAAAAGGTTTTCTGGAAATCGATACCTGTCGAAAATAAGTAGTGATCGTGATGAAGTTTCAGAAGAAATTTGTGACGATATAACAAAGAAAAAATTCCTTTCAGTAACAAACCAAACAATGTTCTGTTGTTCCTAGATACTCAAACTCCAGCCAAATGTGTAATATTTATAAAGTTCACTTTGTTTGTAAGGATATTCACTTTTTAATGGAACTCATCTAAATCAAAACCCTATAGGATTTAAACAGAAATTGTAAAAGTCTTTCGATTTTTATTCAAGTTTCTTTTCATGCTGATTGGAAATACTAGTCGGGCAGGATATAGTCAGTTGCTTCTTTCGCTTTACATTGAGTGACTAGTATCAGAGATAGCAAATGTCATAAGATATTCACTAGATGATTACGAAACACATGTTTTGAATTTACTGATGGGGAGATAACTTGGTATATTTTATTACCATCCTAAGTCCAGATCTCAAGGATACAGAACCCAGTAATAATAATAATAATAATAATAATAATAATAATAATAATAATAATAATTATTATTATTATTATTATTATTATTATTGTTAGATTTCTGATCAAAATAACCTCAAGTTCAATCCACAATTAGTTAAGAGCAATGAGCATATGAAATTCTTTATATCATAACGGCTGCATTAGGTGTTACAATAAGGTATGGCATTTAGTAATTAACTGTTTATCAACTTCTGGTAATATGAACGAGAGGGGATGTTGCATAGAAAGAAGCCTGCTGCGTTAGATCAAGTGTTAAAAGTAAGAAACAATATGATGAATATAGAAATAATGTAGCAAAGATGAATATCTGAGGGGATAATAGTTTTCCTCTACTTTTTCATCAGTCTATCTAGCCGCAAACCTATGAAGTTTATATTGCAATAGACTGTATATTAGGGAGCACATATAAAACTTAAGATTGAATTGAACAGAGTTACAAATAGTGAATGGTAATTTTTGCATTTATTAACCCTTAATTACCTATTGATGGATCATTCGATATCAAACGAAGAGTGAGAGAAAAGATCAGTACTGTGTACGTACATGAATTATGCAGTTATTACTACAGGAGGATTGTGGTGGTTATTGCATTTCATAGTTTACAATGTGAATTGACCTCAGATAGGCAACTACTGGAAACTAGGAGACAATGTGTATCTACTTCTTCCTAGTACTGAACTCGTCAGAAATGCACATCTAAACCCGTAGGGTGCCAAACCCGAATCATTTACATTTTGTAGTTAGCACTTACTCTTCCGATCACTTAGCATGTATCTAGTGGTTAACATATCTTTCTTCGACTAATTTGCAACATCGTACTTCACAACCGTTACTGATAAACTTCACTAGTCACAATCTCTCATTGGAGCTCCGAAAGATACTTGTCGAAATTAACCTTATGCTTCTTGGTTTTAAAAGATTGTTTAATTATCATGGAGTTAAAACACGAATTTCAGCGAAGGGATCTCTTTTCAACGAATTTATTACCAAGCTGTACAATCGTATATATATGAAAATTTTGTTCTTTGTAAAAGTATTAATTCCGTGAGGAAATGTGAACACAATTAATAAAAAGGTTATAATACTAGAGTACGTAATATGAATAATAACAATAACAATAGATTTAGGGAATATAATAAGATGATTAAAATGATTAAAATGTTTTTGTTATAA